CTCAAAAAGTATATCACCAAATATTATAAATCGTTGTTCGGCGCGCCGGCTGAGGGGAACTTCACCCTTGACGAGACCCGAACAGATGATATTCCACAAGTCATGGCAGAAGAAAATGATATCCTTACGGCACCATTCTCAGAAGAGGAGGTGAGAGCGGTGGTGTTCCAAATGGTACATAACAAAGCTCCAGGCCCAGATGGTTTCCCCGCAGAATTCTATCAGAATTTCTGGGATATCATCAAGACTGACCTTTTGGAGTTGTTTAATTGTCTTCATGCCGACCGACTAGATCTATTCAGACTTAACTTTGGCGAGATTGTCTTGTTGCCAAAGATTAAGGAGGCCGAACGGATCCAACAGTTCAGACCCATATGCCTCCTTAATGTTAGCTTCAAGATCTTTACCAAAGTGGCTACGAATAGGTTAAACTTGGTAGTTGACCATGTTGTCCGGCCATCTCAAACAGCGTTCATGCAAGGAAGGAATATACTAGATGGCGTAGTAATTTTGCATGAGACCGTTCATGAGATGCACCGGAAAAACATGAGTGGAGTAGTATTTAAAATCGACTTTGAGAAGGCCTATGACAAGGTCAAATGGTCTTTCCTCCAACAGGCCCTAAGAATGAAAGGTTTCTCTGGTAAATGGCGCCAATGGATCCAAAATTTTGTAACTGGAGGTAGTGTGGCCATCAAAGTCAATGATGATTTAGGCCATTACTTCCAAACAAAAAAAGGACTACGGCAGGGTGACCCCATGTCCCCAATGTTATTTAACATTGTTGTTGACATGTTGGCTATTCTGATTGAGCGCGCCAAGCAGGACGGCCATATTGCAGGAGTAGTGCCACACCTTGTGGATGATGGTCTCTCTATTCTGCAATATGTCGATGACACAATTCTTTTTATGGAACATGACCTAGACAAGGCTCGAAACCTGAAACTCTTGCTTTCAACATTTGAGCAAATGTCGGGGCTCAAAATTAACTTCCATAAAAGTGAACTTTTCTGCTTTGGAGAAGCCGTTGAGGCGGCTGCAGATTACGCTGACCTGTTTGGTTATGCACATGGTCAATTCCCAATTAAATATTTGGGAATACCAGTTCACTATCGGCGTCTCACCATTGCGGAGTGGAAGCATGTTGAGGAGCGTCTAGAGAAACGACTGAGCAGTTGGAAAGGCAAGTTGCTCTCAGTTGGAGGACGGTTGGTTTTAATTAATTCTGTCCTCATAAATATGGTTCTCTATATGCTTTCTTTCTTCCAACTCCCAAAAGGGGTCCTCCAAAGACTGGACTATTTTAGATCCAGATTCTTTTAGCAGGGAGACGGTGAAAAGAAAAAATATAGGCTGGCTAAATGGAGCGTGGTTTGTAGGCCAAAAGACCAAGGTGCCCTTGGAATTCATGACCTACAGGTCAAGAATGAGGCCCTACTTAGTAAATGGTTGTTCAAACTTCTTACTGAGGATGGTGTTTGGCAAACCATATTGCGCAACAAGTATCTAGGCCAAAAGGCGGTGTCTCAGGCTTATTGAAACCTGGCGAACTCACACTTTTGGGCTGGCCTAATGACGGCAAAGAAACATCTTTTTCGCTTTGGGTCTTTCACGATAATGGATGGGTCAGAGGTTCGTTTCTGGGAAGACATATGGCTAGGCAATGCCAGTCTCCGAGGGCAGTACCCACCCTTATATGCCATTGCTCGCGATAAGAGTAATACTAGTGCGCAAGTGCTTAGTTCATCCCCGCCGAATATTTGGTTCAGGCGGGATTTGATTGGCCCTCGACTTTTGTCATGGCATAATCTTTTATCCCGTCTGGATTCGATTAATCTGACACAAGGCCGGGATGTGTTTCACTGGAAACTCACAACATCAGGTTCTTACACAGTAGACTCGATGTACCGTGCGCTTATGCATTCCGAGGTGCCAGTGAATAATAACAAAAAAATTGGAAGTCTAAGATTCCACTAAAAGTTAAAATCTTTATGTGGTATCTTCGTAGGGGAGTTGTGCTAACCAAAGACAATCTTGCACGGCGCAACTGGCCAGGAAGTAAGAAGTGTTGCTTTTGTGCTCATGACGAGACAATCAAACACCTCTTTTTCCAATGCAAGTTTGCACGTTCTATATGGTCAGTCATCCAAATAGCGTCAAATTTGTATCCGTCAACGAGTATTGCCAATATATTTGGTCATTGGTTGGACGGAATTTCAAATAGTTTGAAAACGCTAATAAGGGTGGGGGTGTATGCCTTACTATGGTCGCTTTGGCTATGTAGAAATGATTTGATTTTTAATGACAAAAATGTTTCTCCTCTGCAGGTTATTTTCCGTTGTACACACTCGCTTCATACGTGGTCTACGCTACAACTGGCGGAGCACCAATCGCTGTTCAAGGCGGTGTGTACGCGGTTGGAGCAGACGGCTATGGAGGTTTTTTTCCCAACATGGGTGGCAGCATAACCTCCGGATCGATCCACCGCCGAGTTCGACATAGGCAAAGTGTCGGTCCATAGGACTCTACTGTTACCGTTTTGTCGGTTTTCTTACTTTTTCTAGTGTCAGACTTTGGTGTTTGGCTGTGTGCATCCTAGTTATGCAGAGGCCGGGTGTTACTCATAATGTTTTGTATCCGCTTGATGCTACATTTGAGATAATAAAATCGCCCTTTATCGAAAAAAAAACTTAGCAAAACCGATGGGCGGTTTCTTTGCTGATAAGTCACGTCCCTATGTTAACAGGCGCGTCTCTGGGAACAGCATCTATGTATCCCCTCTTATTTTCCCTTGAGGGGCATCCAATGCCTTCTGCACTTACTTGGAATGCTGGTATGGTATAACAGAAAGGGCGATGATAGGCGCCGGTGCGCCGGCCCAAATTTGGGCCGGTCGCCTGCGGGCCGTCCGATCGCATGCGTGCCTACGCTTCAGATCGAGTGCTGGTCCCTGTGTCAAGGGGGGAAAAAATCCTCCACACGCGTCTTCTTCCTCCCGACGGCTCGCACCCAGGAACTAGCCGCCTCCATGCCCACCCCCTGCCCCCAGCTAGCTGCAGATGCACATGGCGCTCGCAGCATCTTCGGCAGCCCGCCCCACTCACAGAGGAGCAGAAAGTACCGCCACTCGCCGGCCTGTTTCTGTGCACAGATGCAGCTTTCCGATCTGATTTCCCCATGAAGGTCCGCATCAGTAATTCCCACGGAAAAAATGGTGGTAGCAGAAATCATCACCGGTTGTAGCAAAAACTAATGACGATTGCGACAAAATCGTCCTTGTCACCGTGGCCGATTGTAGCTTCTCCGTAAACGGTTGTAGCATTTCCGTGTGCCGGTTCCAGCTCCCCTTGTTGCAGGTTACATCCATCTGTTGTCTTGGCTACAAGTTCATCGCCCGTTGGTTGTAGCATATCAGTCCGCCAGTGGTAGCTTTTTCATTGTTGGTCGTAGCTTTTTCTCGGATGAGTTGCAGGGTTGCAGCTTCATGGACTCCAGTTGCAGGCATTTGCCGTCGTCCGACAACAAAACTACACTGCCATCGATTGTAGCAAAAAGGGACGCCGGTTGTAGCAAAAATGCAATGCGGATGTAGCAAAAATGCGATGCCGGCAGTGCATTGTAGCAAAATGAGACGTCGGTTGTAGCATGGTGCTATGCCGGTTCCAGCAAAATAAGATGCCAGTTGTAGCATGGTGGTACGCTGGTTCCAGCTTCAGGTCGGCGCGGTGGCGGCAGTGGGCGTCGCCGGTTCCAGCACTCGCCGTCGGCGGTTCACAGCAGCAGCATGAATCGTCACGCATCGCAACTGTCGTCGGAAGGACGCGACATCCAGGCATGCCAGCAAATGGTGGAGTTCCCTCCGTGAGGCCGGGTCATCCACGACGAGCACCCTGTGCAGCAGCTTTTAGGCGAGTGGTTCGGGGTTGACTTTGCAGCGGTACCCCGTGAAGCAGCTTCCATGGCGGCATGCTTGTCCAGGGGATGGCGAGGGAGAGAGAAGGACTGAGGCAACCAGAAGAACGTGTGGACGAGGATAGGCATGAGAAATAGATAAGGTTGGAGTTGGGTGGTACACAGGCCCACGGCAAAGATTTGGTAAACGCGCGGCAATGACCGGCCGAAGCTTCGGCCGGTCCGCCGATTTCAAGCGCTTTCCTAACAGAAAAGCATGTATGCTCAACAACCATCAAGTAGTGGCATCTGAGACTGAACTGAACAAACCCAAGCTCTGCATGCCGTTTTCGCCGATGGTGGGTTCTTCGGGTTGCCTGCGTCCACGCCGCACCACGCCGGCTCATGGCGTCTTCAGCACTCGATGGATACTGCTGACTGATTCAAAGGTTTGGTTTTTTTTATAGGTGACGAATACCCACTGATTCCATGCGGTTGCAGGTTCGAGGGACGAACATGTATAAAGTCTGGACATAACACCCATGTTTCTTTCACTGTACTGCATGAAGTTATCTGCATTCTGAACATGCCTACACTGTTGATTCAGACCAGCAACCCTCGAATTAGATAATTATTACTCAAAATATTTTGATACGGAGGGGGTAAAACTAATACTTTTATAAAGTACCTCCATCAAAATTTCTCATCCCCCTCGATGTTACAGTCTGAACATCTATGAATCACAGGACCAGCACAAAGCAACTGTAATTTACAGGATACGGAGATTCGGCTTATCAAGGAATAAGAAGATTCAGGATCACTTATATTTCATAACGGATAGTACTAATATAAGCTGCTTAAAGGCAGCACCAGGTGTTCTCACGAATGGCACGGGACTACAAATTTTAAGTAAAAGCACAAATAATGACTCGGATACCAGCAACAGGCGTAGTCAAATCAAACTTCCAGGAGTGCGAAGAACTCAGTGACACCACGAAGGCAAAGCACCAGGTGGAGTCCAACAGTATGCGACCATCCTAAAGCTGCTTACCGGCAAAGATCAGGCGCTGCTGGTCCGGGTCAAACTTCCAGGAATGCGAAGAACTCACTGGCCACCACGAAGGCGAAGCACCAGGTGGAGAGTAGACTCCTTCTGAATGTTGTAATCTGCCAGTGTGCGACCATCCTCAAGCTGCTTACCGGCAAAGATCAGGCGCTGCTGGTCCGGGGGGATGCCCTCCTTGTCCTGGATCTTCGCCTTCACGTTGTCGATGGTGTCTGAAGATTCCACCTTCAGGGTGATGGTCTTGCCGGTCAAGGTCTTGACAAAGATCTGCATGCCCACCACGGAGACGGAGAACCAAGTGGAGGGTGGACTCTTTCTGGATGTTGTAATCAGCTAGTGTCCGCCCATCCTCGAGTTGCTTGCCAGCAAAGATGAGTCGCTGCTGGTCCGGCGGGATACCCTCCTTATCCTGGATCTTTGCCTTGACATTGTCAATTGTGTCAGAGGACTCGACCTCAAGTGTGATGGTCTTGCCGGTGAGCGTCTTCACAAAAATCTGCATCTGCATAATTGGAAATTGCAAGCAGGATAAGTCACCAAGTGAGAGGCTTACATGAACATATCAATCGATTAACAAGTCATGAGACAAAGAGCACTAATATAAATGCTTTGATAGGTATGCAGAGTTGAAATGGCAAACATAGGATCTTTAATTGACCAAGCTAAAGGTGTCTATGAACAGAACAACGGTGACACAACAAAGACTTCGGTGGTCTGAAAAGACATATATATATAATCTAAACCCCATGACAAATAGTAAATCTGCAGTTCAGAATTTACAAATAATAACCACAGAGCAATAATGAAACGTGGAACTGGAAGACAATATAAAATCTAAGTGTTGGGATCTATTTTTAGTTCAAATTAAGCAGATTTGTGCAAAAAGTTTATTGAACTGCAGAAGACCATACGGATGCAGTACAACATCAACTTAGCAGAATAGTAAAACATAGACTGAAACAACCATAAGGCAGAACATGGACCAATAGTAATCAGAGGATTCAGCATGAGACCATGTGCTTGGAATAATCTGATGCAGCAATAAACAGGAATCTACAACAGCAGGAGCAGCACTATATCGGTCAAAATCTACTCAACAAGTATAGATGAACCATCACGGCACAGCAAGTTCATTCAATTGAAATCTACACGAATAAATTGACTGAGAGCACCCACTCATCCTCAACGATAGCTCGATTTCTATTTAGATCTACCGGCATACAGACCAAATCACAGAACATGGCTACATCGATCTACACGGATCTAGGGAAATCTCCATGTTAAATTCTACGAGCGCGTCACCAAATCGAGAATCGGACATATGCATATCTAGATCAATCCCACAACATGAACAAATAGCTTTGGGGAAGAGGGGGTGGCGTGCGCATACCTTGACAGAGAGGGAGGTTCGCGGGAGCTAAAGATCGATCGCTGTGTTGCGGCGGGGATTTTCTTGATCGGAGTCAGCGGGCGAGTGGATTGGGTAAAGGGTGTCGATGGTGTGGGGAATTTATAGGTGGGGTCGTGGGGAAGGAAACCGGCTCGGCTGCCGTGCAGGTAGGACAGGCGGTTGCGGAGTCCGTCCCCACCACGCAGTCTCTCGACGGGCTGGTCTCCAACGAGGATTGGAGTTTGTTATTTTTTTTTGAAAGGACGAGGATTGGAATTTGTTTTTTGAGCAAGAGGATTGCAGCTTTTTCATGAGCAGTTTGCGGGAGCAACTAATTAACGAGCGCTCCTTTGGGAGGCTCGCAACGATCAGCGCCACTTGGCATGCTCTCAGCCATTCACCACGTGTCGCGTTCTGACCGCTCCCTCCGGATTTTATTTTTTATTTATTTTCCGCACGCGTTTTCGGCTTTTTAAACATTTTTTTCGTTTTTTTGACATTTTGGTTTTCCACCGGTTTTCCCTAGCTTTTCGACCAAAAAAATCCTGAATTTTTTTGGGCAAAAATACGCTTTTTTTTTCTTTCGCGGGAGTCGCGGTTTTGCTTCCGGGAGAGGCACGATTTTGTTTTCGCGAGAGTCACGGCCGTGCCTCTTGAAAATGGAGAAAAAACACGGTTTTTGCTTTTTTCCTTTCGTGAGAGTCACGGTTTTGCTTCCGTGAGAGGCACGGTTGTGCTTTCGCGAAAGTCACGGCCGTGCCTCTCGAAAACAAAAAATAATGTGTTTTCTGTTATTTTTTTTCTTTCGCGAGAGTCATGGTTTTGTTTCCGCGAGAGGCACGGCGGTTGTGCTTTCGCGAGAGTCACGGTCGTGCCTCTTGGAAATGAAAAAAAAACGCGTTTTCTGTTTTTTTGCGAGAGTCACGGTTTTGCTTCCGCGAGAGGCACGGTTGTGCTTTCACGAGAGTCACGGCCATGCCTCCTCGTAAATGAAAAAAGGCGTTTTCTATTTTTTTTTCTTTCGCGAGAGTCACGGTTTTGCTTCCGCGAGAGGCACGGTTGTGATTTCGTCAGATGCACGGGCGTGCCTCTTTCAGAAAGGGAAAAAACCCGTGCTCCCCGTTCTTTTTTTATCCTTTTTTTGTGAAAAAAGTTTGTCAAGACCTATCTACATGAGATCTAGTTTTGAAGATCTCCAGCGGCAAAAGCGGTTTGAGATTTAGACGCACGGTTTAAGAGATAAGACGTTTTGAATAAACGAATCTATGAAAAAAAGGAAAATTCTTAGGTTGCGACAAGTGGCGTGCTGCATGTGTGCCACTTGTTGCAACGTAGGGGTGTTGGAGTGATCTTCACAAAGAGTACTCCTTAATTAGTGATTTCGGCAGTTTGCAGCAGCTTTTATTAAGCGGAACGAGAATTGTAAAGTGAGAGGTGGACTAACATATGGCCCACAAGGCCCGGACGTGAAGCCCATTCGGCCTGGTCTGCTGCGCAACCGGGCAGCCCAACCAAAAAACTAAGTGCTCATCTCCACCTCCGCTTACAGTTGTGGTGAACGAGGGCAGGATTAATCCGGCTAGCACGTTACGAGCCATGATTTTTGTTGACGTTAATGAGCCTCTGGTCAGGTTTGTTCCAATCACTTTGAAGGAGCATAAAAAGTTCAGTGTATTCTATGAAAAGCTCACAGACTTCTGTTTTGCTTGCGGACGGATGGGGCACCTAGCTGAGGAATGTGGTGACGGTGTACACGACCCAGACTCTTTCGAGTGGGGTGATTGGTTGATGTGGGAGCCGGAGTTGCCAGCGGCTCAACCGTATGGAGGTAGTGGTAGAGGAGATAGTTTTGGAAGAGGCCGAGGAGGCGAGGGTGGTAGAGGAGCTAGGGGATGTGGAGGTAGAGGCCCGTTAGGGGGGCATGGAAGGGGAGATGCGGGAGCAAATCATGTGCAAGGGGTGCATCAGATGGATGTGGAGGAAAGGAGGGATAAGTCGGGTGAAGGAGGAGAGAAGGGAGCCCGGAAAAGGCTAGTGGCGGCTGATGGTTCGCTAAACATCCGAGGACAACAGTTATCTCATCTGTCAGGCAGAGTTGCGGGGACAGTTATGCTGATAGAAGGGGCCTCTACTTCTACACCGAGCAACGCAGTGGTCTCGACGCCAGAGAAGGTACATATTATAAAGAAAAGGAGACATGAGGGGGAAGAGGGTGAAGAGATGGAGCTTATGGACAAGGCGGCCTCCCTAGAGGAGGACCGCCAAGCGTGATGAGGACCTTGTGTTGGAACTATCATGGGATTGGCGACCCTGCGACAGTTAACGAGCTTCGTGCTCTAGTGCAGGACAGTGCGTCGTCGGTCCTTTGTGTTGTGGAGATGCAAATTGCAAAGAATCGAGTGGAGGGTTTGGCGGTGTCTTTAGGTTTCCAGCATAGTTTTGTAGTAGCTAGTAGTGGGAGGAGTGGAGGTATTTGTATTTTTTGGAAGTCAGACGTTAATCTTGTAATAAAAAACTTTTCGCAGTATCACATTGACTCCTGGGTGTCGATCCCGGGGTTGGATCAGTGGCGGCTTACTTGTTTCTATGGGGAGGCGAACAGAAGCTTGCGATATAAAACATGGGAGACTATGAAGAGATTGAGGGGGGAGAGTACCCTGCCGTGGTTCTGCATCGGCGATTTTAACGAGATACTTCGACGGGAGGAGCAGTTGGGGCCTAATACCCGTGATAGTGCACAAATGGAGGGATTCAGGGATGCTGTGGATGTATGTGGCTTGGCGGATATAGGATATTTGGGTCTAGACTGGACTTTCGAGAAGCGAGTGACGGGTGGTCAGTTTTGCAGGGTTCGGCTAGACCGAGCTTTGGCCTCACCCAGCTGGTCTTTACTATTTCCTTTGCAACCCTGGAACATCTAAACACAGCTAAGAGTGATCACAGTCCGGTTTTGCTCAAGACTGAGTTGGAGACAGGCAGCCAACAGACGATAGGGAGGAAAACTTTTCGATATGAGTGTGCATGGGAGTCGGATGAGCGTTTCAAAGAAACGGTGGATGAGGCATGGAATGGAAATGGCCCTGCGGCGACACTAGCTGACTTGGCCAACAAGCTGCAAGATGTCTTGGCTTCAATGACACGGTGGAGCAAGAGGACTTTCGGCTCGGTTCGTCAGGAGATGCGTGGGTTGCGCCGGCAGCTCTTGGAGCTCAGAGCGGATCCGTTGCGAACGGGCCCAGGGCAGGAAGAGGAGAGGGTTATGGCTCGCTTGATTGAATTAGCATACAAGGAGCAAATCATGGCAAAACAACGCTCTCGGATCACATGGCTAGCTGAAGGCGACAGCAACACCAAGTTCTTCCAACGGAAAGCGAGTGCTCGGCGGGCAAAGAACAGGATCGTCAAACTGGAGCGAGGTGACGGAATGTTATGCACTGACCTGAGCGAGTTGGCAAGTATGGCCATTGAGTTTTATAAAAACTTATATTCATAAGAGGGTACTATTGGTATGGAGGAGGTTCTTTCACACATCCCTGCTCGGGTGGATGGAAGAATGAACGCTCGCCTTAATGCAGATTATAGCAAAGATGAAGTTAAAGAGGCTTTGTTTCAAATGTTCCCAACCAAGGCTCCTGGCCCAGACGGTTTTCCTGCGCACTTTTTTAGAAGCATTGGGACTTGTGTGGTGATGAGGTTACAAGGATGATCATTCGAGTGCTTGATGGAGTTGATTCCCCGGAGGAGATAAATAACACGTTCATCGTATTAATTCCCAAGATCTCCAGTCCAAAAGTTTTAGGACAATTTCGGCCTATAAGCCTATGGAATGTAATCTATAAGATTGCGTCAAAGGTCTTAGCTAACCGGCTGAAATTAATTCTCCCCGATATTATCTCCGAAGAGCAATCTGCTTTCGTCCCTGGACGTCTCATTACAGATAATTTTATCACGGCCTATGAGTGTTTGCATTATATGAAAACAAGAAGGATGAAGGGGAACATGTTCTGTGCGCTAAAGCTGGATATGATGAAGGCATATGACCGCTTGGAGTGGTCGTATCTAAAAGCGGTTATGATTAAACTAGGGTTTAGCCCTAGATTCACGGAGACTGT